CATCATCTTTTATATATTTGAACCCCAAAACCCCAAAACCCCGAACATTCTAATTACTATGACAGCAAAGTTTAATAAATCAAATAAATATTGTCTTCATAATTTTAAAGCACAATTATATTTTAAGGCCAGCTAAATAAATTGTAAAATGAAGGTGTTTGTAAAGATTAAGGATCCATTCCAAACAAGAGACTTCATGCAAAGTTTCACAAAGAGTAAACCAATTAATTTGATGCTATAAAAAGAGGTATAAATATTATCGATTTAAAGTTTGATAATTAGATTAGAGATCTAAAGAAATCAGAAGTGCTAATGGAGTTGGCAACTATTCATAAATAGCCTAATGTCACGGTTTAAAATCATCTTAGAAGAAAATCTTTACATTCTAGGAATGCTTCTGACACAACATTGAAATAACTGTCAACAATGAAACATTAAATATCTAAATAATCATCAAACAATGCAGTAACTGATGTAAAAACAGAGCAATCTCAAAATATGCTAAATGGGATAGCTGTAGGCAACGCCATATACTCCCCATATAGCTTTTATGCCAAGCATTAACCTCTATCCCCCTCATTTTTGCAGAATATTTAATCAGTATCATAGATTGATCCCTCTTAGCATCATTCAATTCACATTAAAAATGAAGACTAATTGCAACACAATCTTTATTAAAGTGTTCAACTTTCAACCCAAGTTAAACCTTTTTTAAGAGATAGTATCTCAAATAAAAAATCGAATTTTTATAGAGTAGTAAAGATCAATGGCGGCGGAGAAATTTCTTAAACAACTGAGTAAAAGTCTCAGACAATTTTTAAATCAAAAAGTCAATAGACGTTGATAAGAAATTAATAAAATTTCTAGAGACTGAGATCTAGCAAACAACCCAGGCAAGACTATCAATTTGAGAAAAGACTAAATCTGAATCTTAGCAAAATATCTATTGGCGGAGATAAATTTTAGGATTCTCAAAATATAAGGATAGGAAAGAATCTAATAAGCGGAAAAGAATAAAATTATTTTAAGATTCAAACTGATTTAAATTACAGAGGATATGAAAATAAGACGCCTTTGTCTAAACTACTGAAAATTAGATAAGATAATGACAAAATTAAGCCACACGAGAAAGAAGATGAAGTCGAATGCAGATTTTTGGTAAAGTCACCTAGCCATTTAAAAAATTTAATATCAGAAAAATTTGTATAAATGTAAACTAAAAAGCATTCCCCATCTAAATCTGAAATTGCTGACTCAAAAAATAATTCTATGCTCTAAAGCAGTCCCAGCAGGGCACATAGTCCTTAGAAGAAAAAAGAGATTGAAAGAGTACTTGAGATATCAAAGAAGGCTAAATACATAAATAAACTATCAAGAGTGGAATAAAAGTTCCTAACTAAATTTATAAAAGCACTAAATTAATAAGGCAGCCCTGAAAAAGAGGAAGAAGTCGAAAGTGATGAGAGTAAACTTGAATAAAATCCTTTTATGAATAAAGTTATGGAGGAGAAACTAAGAAGGTAGGCAGAGATGATTTAACTATTGTCAAGTGAAATAGAAAATTCACATGATTTAGTGCAAAAAAAATTAAAGAAGTAGCCTCCAAAACCTCAATAGAATATGATGAATAAATTTGCTATGAAGCTTATTGTAAATATGAGAAGATTATCAAATGAATTTGATCCAGAGAATAAATTATAAAAAATGATTCAGTAGAAAGAAGGTGGGGAAAAGGTGAAAGTTTTTAAGAAGAACTATGCCTAAAATTTGTTTGGAAATAAGGACAATACTGATTTAGACTAAATAGAAAAAAGATACTTATCATGGGAGAGTAGAATAGGTAATGAAAAAGATATCCAGCTTTAGATAAAACCTTATGACATGCTAGGAAAAATGATCAGCAACCCTAAACCCATTGACACAACTGCAATTCCTTAGGTTAAAAAATTATTGAATAGATTTCAGAATAGACAGAGTCATATTAACAATGAGAAAATGAAAATGATCAAAATTTAGTAGAATAATTTTGGTGTGGCTGAGAGAAAAATATTTTCTGCTCAAAATACTCAGAGAGATCAAACAAAAGAAGAACCAATTCAAATCTCGCTGATGAAAAAATATGAAGGAAATATAGATCTAATAAACATGATTAAGCATAAAAAAATTAGGGATGTGTACAAGGTATTGAAGAAAGGTGAATAAGATGTTATGTTTTAGAGAGATTCTATTGGAATGACACCTTTTCATTGGGCTTGCAAGAGAAAAGACAAGATTGCAGCTCAACTTTTGCTTAACTTTGATTCACCTATAGATGAAAAAGATATGTTTGGAAGAAAACCTATTGATATTGCTAGATATTAAGAAAAGGATTCCATTATTAGAGTAAGATTACTGATTAATTACTAAAAATTTAGATGATTGAAAAATACCAGAAAGGAGAATTTGAGAAAGATTTTAGTGCTTTTGAATATTTAGAACTATTTGGAAAGATGCCAGCAAAGAAAAAATATTAAGCTGACTGAAACTTATTTGTATTAATAAATGATATAATCCATTTACTTTGAATTCGAAGGATAGTAATTTAAATAAGAATGCATTTATCTAATTAAATCAATCTCTGCCACTTAAATTTCCAGATGGAGGTGGAAAGTTTGGTTTATTCTAACCTTATTGAATTTTGCCAATTGATGAAACCATACCACTTATTCCTGTATTCTAAGGAAATTTTAAACTTCATTAAATATCCTTACTCTTTATTTTAGGATAAGGTCTCTTCTTGCGTTTTAGATTTCTAGATACTTTTTGCCAGTTCCCTCTCTGCCGAATTTCTTAATTTCCTATCTAATGTCACATCCTTGAGCTTGTCCAAGATCTATTAGTTGAATTAGATTTAATATATTTATACTTTCTAAAAATGGCATGATATCATATAGTTCTCTATCATCTGGATTACCCTCCCAAAGAGGAAGAATAATTGCATTATCCTTGTGAAATTCAACTTTTTCATCTTAGAAATCAATGTAGACTACATCCTTTAAATTTCTATTCATATAGGATAGATCTTTAATGTATTTTCCATTCTTTAATAGGGTTGATTCTCTGCCTAACCTTGCCATAATCATTTGATAGTTGGGATCTAGTGCATCGCAAATATCATTAACAATCTAAGATTATTACTTATACAAAGATATTCTTACACCACTCTCCTCATCTCCAAAAATGACTATTTCATAGAATCTGCTCATTCTTTGCAAGAAAACACTAAGACCTGGTCTCTTTAATATTTCAAAACCTGATCCAAACTATTTTCAAATAACTATTACTCAATTTTACTTTGTATTCTGAATGAACAAGAGTTCCTCTCATATTGACAACTAAGGTTTTTGGATAACCAGCACCTGGTGGAAGTGGAGGTCTATCTGGGAGAAGTTTTTCAACAGGTGGTCTAGTCAACAACAATTTCAAGTCGTAGAATGCATAGTCAGCAGACTTAGCAAAGTTCATGAAAGTTTCATTAGCCATGAAACCTTTTTCTGGTTTATCAGTCTTTTTTAAGAGATACATATGATACCAAAACAGACCAAAGCTAACCCATAGAGTATATTTGATTGTTTTACCGATAACAAACAAGATTTTTCTGTACGTTTTAAAGTTGTCTAATATCAAAGCATTATTTAAATATTATTTTACTCTTTTCTTGGAATTGATCGTCATCTTACTAATCTTATTGCTACTTTTACTCTTCTTGAGTCTTTTCTGTTTGCTTTTAATCTTGAGCTTTTTATTCTTCCTACTGCTTTTGCTCTACCTTCTCGCTGAAATATCTATTTGAGACTTATGCTTAGCCTAAATGAGTAGTTCAACTAATGATGGTTTAATTTTACTCATAACAAAGTTGATTCTTGCATGGTGGGAATACCTGAGCAAGTTAACATTCATTTGCTGCATCAATATCATTGCTTATTTTTGCATGTTTAGAAATTAAATAATTAAAGTATAATAATAATCGAGATGATTGAAATATTATGTGGTAATTTAATTAATCAAATTTTAATTAGAATTTAATTAATCAAATTTTAATTCGTCAACTACTTTAATGGTATATTCCTTCTTTGTGGGCATGTTCGTTGGTCTCCCAATCGGCTGCTATTTGAGAGAAGTAGGCTACGCTAATAAGTTCAAATCAGCTTACAAAATTTTCTTCCCTGATCAAGGAATAATGAAGAGTGATAAGTTAAAGAATAAGAGTGCTTAATTCTTTGAAAGTCTTAAGAGAGGAGAAGTAGAAGCTAAAGACTTTGAGAAATATGTATATGGAGGTCAGCATAATAATAGATAGTCAGATGTTAAAGAAGTTGAAAAGGAATAGCAAAAATTACAAATCCTTAGAGATATGAAGAGAGAATTGTGATCTTAACAATGAGTATAAATATAAATTTTGACATATATTCATTCAAAATTCTTACTCTAAATATTCTAGACTAGTGGGGTTTTGGGGTTTTGGGGTTTTGGGG